ATCTATAAGAGCTTATAGGTTGAGTCTAATTAATAGGCATGTTGAAAATTGTTTTTCTTAGTATGCTTTTGTAGGTAAACTGATATTTTGAGGTTTGGGGGGGGGGGGGGGGGGGGTTTAGAGGGGTGTGGGGGGGGGGGGGGGGTGGGGGGGGGGGGGGATATTTAAAAAAAAATATTAAAAAAATAATATTTTTTTTTTTTTTATTGTAAGAGAAAAAAAAAAATTTTTTTTTTTTTTATTTTTTATTTTTAAGTTAAATTTTTTTTTTTTAAAAGAACCTTTTTTTTTTTTTTTTTTTTTTTTTTTATTTTTTTTTTTTTTTTTGTTTTAAAAAATTTTTTTTTATTAAAAAAAAATTTTTTTTTGGGCAATAAAACCCGCCCCTTTTTAAATAAAAATAAATCATTAGATTTGGCTTTTTGCCAACCCATGTCTCCAAGTTAATAGAATTGGCTCTTATTAAACACGTAATTATGTAAAATAAAATTATATCTCCGAATTCTTTAGCTACTTGTTTGGATTTAAAATCTAAATATACATTTAAGTAATTATTATTACATATAAGAAATTTTTGAGAATTCCCGCGTAGGTACTTGTTGATTTATTTGTATATGCAGTGTTGGCCCGGTATATTCAGCAATTCACACCCACTCACGATCTGAGGTCGTAGGTTTTGTGCACGAAAGTATTTTTTGACTATGTGCGCAATTAATACTCGAAGGAAATAATGGTAAGGAAACCGGAACACATACTATTAGCCTACTTGCCTATTAGAAAAAAAAACAATTGAACTCGAAACAGATATATAAATCTGAGGTCCAGACCAAAGGTTGTAGCGCTAGAGGGTTTTATTTTGTATATAAGATTAAATTCTTCGTAACAATTGTTGTCGTGTTCATAGTGAATTTGATGTGATTCTATAGTGAACAGGATACGTTTCAATCACGTAATGGATTACCTGGACACAAAGACACCCACAGTTGTCAACACCGCCATAGACAGATATATATTCTATATTAAGCAGATGGATTGTTCACAGATTACAAAGCTCTTACAAAGAGCCTTATAAGGTACTCAATTGTTCCTTCAATACCGAGTTTTTTTAAAATTTTGTAATCACGCTAATTTTTTTATTGCTGAGAACGCATTAGGGATAAAGTGTAAAGGCGTCTTCTTAAAACATTAATTGTATCGTCAGGATTAGAATATATATAGATAAAATCACATTGACCATGGATACTTTATTCTTCTCGGGGCTAGAAAAAAAAAATTGAAAAAGCAATTTATAAACCCTTAATGAAATATACTACGCAGAAACTTTTTGTAAATGAAACCATTAAAAATTTTTTTTTAAAAAAAAAAAAAAAAAAACCCTCTCCAAAAAAAAAAAATTTAAACGGAAAGAAAAAAAATAATTTTCCTTGGAAAAAAAAAAAAAAAAAAAAAAACCATTTTTTTTTTTTTTTCGGGGGAAAAAAAAAAAAAAAAAAAACTTTACAATTTTATTTTTATATTAAACAATATAAAAAATGTCGACATTCAAAGCGTTTAATCAACTTTAATATAAATTTATGGACTGAAGTATTTATTTATACAATTATCTCTAATATATACGTATTTTTTCGTAAATTTAAAATATTGAATCTTTATAAGCTATCTCCATTGCCCAGGAAATTAATTTAGTCTATTGCGTATTCAGGCCTATAGAATGTTTTCCGCATGAAAAGCCAGGCTTACCTGCGGACTTGCAATACAAGTTCAAGCGCGCTTAGTGAAGGGTGATAGCGGGGTGGCAAGCCGGAAGAAATCCTCAACAATTATATTTTCTATATAAACACGAAAGGTAATTATTAATATTTTAATATCCATTGCGTAAGTTTAAACGCATGCGTAAAACGTACAATTCATGTAGCGCAATGTATGTTGTCCAGTGCGTTTTATTCTTACAGAGCGTTTCAGTAGGGACGTAGGCTCGACTCTCGAGCTAAGCTTTCAGTCTATGCTTTCAGTGTTGTTAGGGAAGTCGAGCGAGGAGCATTGCTTCCACGCTCGTAGTTTTGGGCTCGCGTCGTGAAAAAGTTCGTGGTTCAAATTGAAATACATTGTAAATAAATTCATGTTGAAGCCAGAGCTATTATTAGCTTAAGGTATAGTGCTAAATAATATCGTTATATCGATTATATATACATTAGTAGCATTGGTCGAAACAGAATCAAAGAACATGTAAAACCCTCATTTAGTACATGCCATTGATTGATATCATAATTTTGGATTAAAATTTTTGCTTTTTGTGAATTAATTGGGATCGTGACTTTATTTTTATTCGTAGAATCAGGATTTTCGGGAGTACGTAAGTAATTTTGTGTTTTATTCTAATTCTGTAATATTACTATGTTGTTATGATTACTTGAACTCTTAATTACATTATTTAATATTTGTTAATAATGTAATTAAGAGTTATTAATAAATAAAATCGTTTTATAGTGACTTAACGTACCTATGAATTATTGTCCCTAATTATACTTGGGCGCTATTAATATATTATTAAATTTATTTTGATGGCTTGTAAATTCATATGAGTTCCCCCTAAATCGGTCGTGGAATAAACCCATTTTATCGTTTGATTTATTAACTATTTAAACTAAGTTTGCTGCTTCTTTCGCGGTAGCCAATATTGTTTCTCTGGGTATTGAATCCACGGGTTGGGGTTCCGATACACGTTTCTCACACGCCACGAAGGTGATTCAGACGAAATTGTATTTGATTTGTTAAAAAATTACTTATTTTTTTGTAGAAATGTGTTGATCTAGTGTGTTAAGTGTGCGACTGTCAACCCTGATGTCTTCTCGTTCGAATCACGCCTCTGCACCGCTTTTTCTTTCGTTAGCTCGTTTAACAGCAAACAACAACAGGAAACCGGCATGTCTTGAACCAAAAAAATCGATGGCATATCTACCAGACAGATAAGATAAAATAATTAGAGACACGGATGCAACCTGACAAAACACCCTCATAGGGTTGTGACGCCACTGGATTATTATTTATTATTATTATTAATTGCCGTTATTATCTTTACGAACAATGTTATTATAACAACTGTACAATTTTTTTTAAATAATCTTGGATCTAGACGCGACGCGTTATATTTTTTTGTATAAAATAATAATCATTATAATTATTTGTTTAAAGTGTGGCCACTTCTACTCCAAAGTATTTCATCTAGTTTTAATGCTAGCGTAATATTTCTGCGTCAAATTTTTGTATTAAAATCCTTCGTGTCCTGGCGTTTTATACATATTCATACGAATATTTGCCGTTCTACATTTAAGGCGATTTCTTGCGTTTCTTGGGTAATTGAATCTTTAAAAAAACAGTATATCATACCACTTTAACAATTAATTATTGTATGTTTTGAAGGTATATGTTACTGTAAAAGTTCGAACTACGGTTAATCTTAAGATTTAAGTGTAAGTAAGTCTTAGGATTTACCGACATGAGTTGGTAAATGTAAGTATTTCTGAAAATACGACGATTTTTTCGAGCTTTTACCATCCGAATTCAGTATATGCTAGATTTTACCACTGTCAGCTGGTAGATGTTGGTTTTAGGAATAAAACAATGAGTAATTCTTAATTATTTACTTTAATGAACTATTAGACAAAACAGGTACATAGTATTATAAAGGCATCATATGATTTATTTATTATTTATTATATTAACAGCTCCAAACTTAGACTAAAAACAATAAAATACAATTAAGATTTACAAAATTTATAGTACAGGGTAGCATTACCCTCTTATCCCCTCCAGGTACACTCTGAAACCACAGTATACCACCCCCATAAGCTTCCCAAACAGGTCGCTCTCCGGTGAAGAGTCGAGAAACCCATTATGCAGTGAGAGTAACCGGGGAATGGGCGCTTGTTGTCGCTGGACAGTGCGAGCCGAACGCACAGCGAAAAGGTTTCCGGCAGCGGCAATATTTGTCCGGAACGTATAGCCTCATGAATATGGGCTGATATGGGATGATAGTAATAAGTACAAACTAATACCAACTTATTTAAATTATTTTGAAAAAACACATATTTAACGTATATCTCTGAATATCTCAATCTCTATCTATCTAACTGAATCAGTAGTTCTCTATTTGGAATTTAATAACGAAATACAAACATAATGCTTACGTAAGCTAAGTCTCAACATTATAATTAATGTTTTCCAAAGATTCCGGTGGTAAGAGTCGAATCGCAAACATTTTGGACCTTTACCATTAGTAATTGGTAGATGTAGCCAAGTCCCATTCAGATTTACCCTTAAGTCGCTGGTGGGGGGGGGGGGGGGGGGGGGGTTTTCCCTCTCCCTAAAGAGGGGCGATGGCTGGCCATCGTCATACTCGTGACGGGTGCTTTTGTGTGACATTCGTACCATTGAAATGTGTGATCTTAATTATTTCGATTTTGTTTCTGTTGCCCAATTCTTAGGCTCCTATTTACCATGCCTTTCTGAGTCTTTGTTTTTACAGTATTTAATCTTAAATCATGTGCAACATGGTGTAATGTTGGCTACAACTGTGTAAAAACTGCATTAATGAGGTTTTGCAGTTCTTCTCTTCCGTTCTACGCCCTTGATTTGTGAACTGGCAGTAAATTAAATTGAAGCATTAGTATTAGCTTTAATGACGAACAAGTGTACGTGTTACTACGTGAATAATATTTTGTTTGATTTGTTTACTTGAATATCTTTGGATTTTCTGCAGTTCGAGCTTTTACAGTAACATAACACCACCGGTACGACGAAAACGCATTATATTCTTACAATAAGCATAGTATTAGAAGTCCAAAACGATGTATTTTAATTTTTCAACAAAACACCACCGGTACGAGGAAAACTTAAGATCAAATAAATTCTCGTTAAGCACAAGCAAGGCTGAATCGCGTGTGGGTGTAATTTTTCTCATTCCTGTTTGCCTTTTTCAGATCTCGACGTGAGCTAGACTAATGGCGAGGACTTTCCTGATACACGCTTGCTTAATTTTCCTCACGTTTTGTCTAGGTAAGCGAACGCCTTCCCTCAGCTCTTTTGATATTTACCATTTTAATGATTTCCTTTCAACAGGTAAAGGCACGAACCGTTGGAGAAGAATAATACACAATTACGGGCGGGAATTGAGTCCCCAGAAAAGAATATTTGGTAAGCGTATTAAAATCTGTATTTAAGTCATAAAGCAGCAAATCAAGCATAAATAATATTAAGATTATTTGTTGTATTATATTGCATAGCTTCTGTAGACTTGCTTTTCTTAATAGAAGCGGGAATACAATTTACTTTTTGCCAGTACAGTCACTCGTACGGTGAACGAAAATATCGTCTCAAATACGACGACATACGTCAAACAGAGTTTGCGACTTGAATGAAACTTAAAATAAAACGAATCACCGACTTGTCTATGAAATAAAAAATACCCATAAAGGGTTTATTGTTAACTGGTAAACAAATTTCTTTGTAAGCTTTAGGTTTTGCAAGCATTTTGCTTGAATTTGTTGTTACAATAGATTTTATAATTTTTTAATTGATTATTTCTCCTTCATAATCGTTATGTTTGTTTATACTCTATACCAATACACCAATGTATCTATGTGCCGAGCATTAGCAAGACATATCAATAATATGAATCAAAATATAATTATAATGACGAGATTGACAATCAGCGAGCGTGCTTCCTTAAATGAATATGTTACATAATTTGAATTAGTAAATTGTAATTGTATCTTTATTGCTACTTGTTAAGGCATAACATGAAATACCCATGATTGTCTACAAATTTGATCGCTTGCCCGGAGAGCTTGAAAGAATCTATAGTACGGAGAACTTTTCTTTTCCCGTATGTTGTCTAGAATGGTTATTCATACTCATCAGTATAGTATTTTTTATTTGTTATGTGATCAAAATGTGATTTATCCATGAAAAACTGCCATTTACAAACCAATCAAGTTTATTTAAAAATAATTTCTAATATTCAATAATTATTCAATAATGATTTTCTAATATATCATACAATATATATATATATATATATATTTCTGTTATTTACAGATTATTATAAGCCTGCAATTGAAGATTACGGTGAATACTATGATCAATACGATGAATATTCTAAAAATGAATACACAGACCTAGACTATAATGAAAAGGAAAAATCGTGGGACGTTGATGATAACCTAAGAAAAAACATTATTTTTAATACAACGAAACACAAATACAATCTTGTTGGACCTATAAAGACAAAGGATCAAAAGACACAAGCTTTCAAATGGCCTAAATTCGAAGATATGTTACTAGACATGGGAAGAAGGTACGATTGGAAAAATGATAGATGGATCAAGGTGAAAAAGAAAATTAAAAATTTGGAAAAGCGGAAAAATATAACAAGTATACATGAGAAACACAAATTTATTTATAGAATAGTTAGATTAAATAGACCGAAGAGTAAACGGAATATTGTATTAGCTGTTACAGCGGTCAGATAGAGTTATTGAGAAATAGTTTTATAAACCCAATTCACGCAATTCTTCACCTACGGAGCTGCTCTTTGAAAAAGTCTTCATAAATACTACTGACGATACCAAATTTCATAATTCTCTTAATAGGCCAGTCATTATAGACATTCGAAATCGAAAATTTGATAATAATTCCAAAAGTTTTCAAACTTCGGTCAAGTGAATGGTACATTGGGACGACAATAAATCTCATTTTGAACTTGTCGATCGGAACATTGTTAAAATTGCAATTAAATTAATTTTATGTCTGTATGGTCGTGAAAAAAATTCCAAAAGTTCTGCAAACTTGGGGAAGTTTTCGATATAATATTTCATATCACGTATAAAATTTGCAACCAACCTAAGTGTACGGAACATTTTTTGTTATTTATTTTATTTTCGATATATCTGTCAAATTTGCAGAACTTTTGGAACGTTTTCCTTCAGTTTAATAAAGAACAACATTAATTAAATAATGTTCCGTACACTTAAATTGGTTGCAAATTTGACAGTGATGTAAAATAATATATTTAACACCACTCAACTTTGCAGAACTTTTGGAATTTTGGTCTCAAGAACTAAACAAATTATCATTTATTGATTTTTAACAATGTTACAAGAGGTTGCAAAATTTTATAGTTTTTTTAATACACTCCACCTTACATCAAAATTTGAAAACTTTTGGAATTATTATGAATTAATTGTCTTGACTGACTGGTTAGAAGTAGCGCTGGCGTCGCAAGCGGTAAGAATACCAACAATGCCAACTGACCCCGACAGTCGCTATTCAAGTACAGGGTAGACCTGAACTAGACAATTTCCTCCCACAAAAATGGTCTCTACACTCTACAGTATACAGTTTTGTTTGACGCGAATTTTGTATGAAAATTGTGTTCACAATGAGTAAATATCTAATTCTTTATGTACCAAACTTGTATGAAGAACTTGAGTCTTCGTGTATCAATCGATGGCTGTCATCCCCTTACGATGACGTCCCAATCAATAAAAAACTGTCAAACTAAATGTAACAAATGACGCACACGGTCACGGTACTTAGAGTACAGATACCTTAGCACAAATATTAACTCGCCAAAGTATGATGAATCCGATACGAGAGTACACGATATTACGAATTGGCAATACAGAGTTTTCGATACATTTGGCACAGTTTACGAGGAATAATGTTTGAAAGCTAAAGTATTTCGCTATTCCGTCTTTATACGACTACTCTTGGAGCGCTCAAGTTATTCATTCAAAAATAAATATATAAAATAACATTTTATTTATTAGGGTGCAACCTCCTTGGAGTCCGTAACCCTTTCACAGACTACACAATCTTAAAGAAAACACCGTATAAGACATACGGTGTTTTCTTTAAGATTGATGATATTCTGTAAAATTAAATTGTTTTATATTAAATAAGCTATGGGACCAATGTGAGTCGTTACATATAATAAAAAGGATTGTGTATGTACGTTTTCTGTAGTATAAAAATAGGCGGTTCAAGGGTTGATTTATAATAATAGTTACCTATAGCTTCGTTAAAAGTTTGAAACATAGTTGATTTGGATTATGCCGTGAGATGAACATTTCTGTTGTTGATATTAAAATCTTGATGCTTTGAAGTGTCTTTTATTTTTGTGGTGATTCTTAAAACAAACAATTAAGGTTGCTATTTTGCATGATTTAGTCATAAGTAATACTAATTATTACTTTGAATAACACTTAAGTTACTTGAACTTAATTCGTTTCTCCTATTCAACACTTTTTTGTACAACAAGATTTTTTAGAAGAATTCACCAGAGTAAAATCATAAAAGGTCTATTTAAGGTCGCTATAGTAAACAATGATGTAAATCTTATCGATAAAAACTCTACTTTATTTACACAAGCAAAAGTCCAAACTAAAATTACGATCTTTAAAAAAAATAGTCTAACTATACTATTTTAACAAATCTGTCTCTTTCCATCACAGTATACATACAGTTTGACAGAAAGAGATGAAAGCTTATAAAAAAGATCTGTTTCATGATCATGTTAATCTAATAGGCAAGTAGGTGATCAGCTTTCTGTGCCTGACGCACGCCGTCGACTTTTTCGGCCTAACGCAAGTCGATTTCCTCACGATGTTTACCTTCAACGTTCGAACGAATGATATACACACATAGAAAGTCCATTGGTTCACAGCCGGGGATAGAACCTACTAGTACCAGGGATGAGAGTCGCACGCTGCAGCCACTAGGCCAACGCTACTGCGAAATATTATAATGGAGTGCAATTACATTGATTTAGTTTTTATGAATAAAGAGATTGGTTGGGAGATTTACGTGCCTGTTCGTTGATTATTTTTCTTTATGTACACTTACAAGCCTTCTAGTATTTATTACAGGTATCAATGGGCGGCGGTAAGCACTTAGATCTAATGCCTTCTGTCAAATAAAAATACAATTAATTTATGGTTATAAACTTTACCCGTGAGAGTACGATGGGGACTCGTCATAAAAAGTACATCATTATTATACGCTCATTTAATTTTATTAAGATTTATGCGATAAAAAAGGAGTTTAACATCTAGTCTATTGCGTTGTTTTTGATATGATTTTAATAAAGTGTATAAAGATTAAATCAAAAGTAAAATCGTGCTGAAAGTAAATTCAACGGAATTAAAATAAGATTAAACGAACGAAGCGTGCGCCGACGTGATCGTATCGTATAAAAGCGAATCCATCTTTTCTCTTTGCTCTCGCTACGATACGCAAGGAAATTAGATTGGTTTATTAAAATGTAAATGAAATAGGTAAGAAGCGTATATTTATATTCTCTAAAGATTCAATGGAAAACGCTAAGGGAAATGTATTTTAATAATCCAATGGAGGATGGAGATACAGGGTTTCGGGTTTGGTTTCAAATTTTCATGTTTAAGTAAGTGATCAGACTTCTGAGTCCGTTAATTAAATTTATTATTATTATAGTGTGGAATTGTGAGGAAATATTAATTAATTTATATTATTAATTAATATTTCCTCACCATTTTGAACTAGTGTAAAGCACAAAAAACTATTGATCAGCCACGGCTTACAAACGTGACCATCATAGCTTACAAGTGCAGTCACTAGGTCATTGCTCAAAAAAGAGAATAAAATGTTATTAATTACTCACAGTAAAAAACGGAGAGACAACGTATAAACGAAATATACGTGCCGTTTTTTAATGAACCCAAACGAACGATAAATCGTCTGAAAAGTATTGTACTGGTTTATTACTCTTAATATGTTATACAGATAATTAAAACAATTCTAGCGTAATCGAGATATATATAATTAGAATACTTGAAATGGTTCGTATATTATTTTTTTGGGACCCAGAAATCAGTAATTGAATCAAGTATGTTACCAGTAACTATTAAATAGCGTGTTAATATTTATATCGTTTTTTAAAACCTAAACAATCAAGAAATATAGCGTGGGTAGTTCTTAGTACAAAGGACTTAAACTCTGTTGAATTAATAAACTGGCCATAAAACTTTATTTGTAAGGCTCCATTGTTACTATTACATTGTGTTCTCAATTTTATTCAAATACAAAGTGTTTTACAAAAGTTAAGATATTTTTTCTTTTATATATTTTTAACGAAAATATAGTTTTTAGCGAATAAGTTCAATCAGTGCTATTAAGCGGGCCATAGACGGACCGCATGTTGCAGTCAAGACCGACTGCAACATGCGGTTTGCTCAGGAACTGCTCGAGCGGTCCGTGTATTGCGAATATGAATTCAGTATGGAAACTGCAGATCGCCGTGCGGCGACCTTTAGATGCGCAGACGTCATTAGGTGTTTTCAATTTAAAACTAATTCAAAAATCAAAGCTCTCTTTGAACGTTAATTAATCAATAAAGCTTTTTATAAATTTGACGATTATTTAAATGATCCTAATCCTTGGGATTCATTTGCTCCAGTTCAAACAATTTGCGAGACCCAAAACTTGGTAATTAATAAGAGTGGCGGAGAGTTTCTTGCCAGTTCTTCTTGCCCGCTCTACGCCCTTGACTTGCGGACTGGTAGTAAATTAAAATTTAGAATCAATTTAACAATTTTTTCTGTTGACGTTCATAAGTGTACCTGGTTACCTATATGAATAAAGTTATTTTGAGTTTGAGTTTGAACAGTACGTTGCAGAATTTACCCCCACCACCCAAAACCCAAGTTACGTTCCGAAATTTATACTGAACATACCCAATAATTATTTTCTTTCCATGGGAAACAATCCCTTTCGAGTTATACGTCAATTGTCCCTAAACCATAGAGATAGTAAGAATGAAAGAACTGTTAGCAAGTAAAGTAACCATTATATACGTTAGTATACAAATATGTAATACGGCTGCTTTGTACTCGTGTATAACTTTTTCATGAACATGTTTCCCTTCCAAAAGCCAGCAATTTATCAGACCCATATGTTCCGCGATGTGGTTGGTGTACAATAAAAATCTCTGATAATATACTTGTAAAAAACAATGGCCGTGATCCGGGCTCGAACGTGATGGGAATAATGTTAGGGGCTATGTGGAATTTATTATTTTACGACCCTTTGTTGAGAACAAACTTGTTAGTTTATTTAGTCAAGGGTATCCTCGTAAAGTATTAATTTTATTTGGAATTGATATTTAACATTTGTCTTTTATAAACTCTGTCTTTGGGGTGAGTGGGATGGGCCTAGAGGAAAAACAAAAAGCAGGTAATCTAGATATCTATTTTGTGTAGAACGGTAAGGTACTACTTTTTGAGAAAATCATATTATTGCATGTTTTTCTTGAATGTAATGATTGATTTTCCTGGTGCAGAGTCCGAATACTATTTAGAGGTCGTTCAAGTATAATGAAAGCACTATAAGGGGTGGTCTTTGATTTTCTTATTTGGTGATTACGTCAACAGTAATTTATTTACTTTTGTACACATATTACCCACACATTGTCTATGCTTGAAAACGATTTGTATTTTCGAGGATTCCTACAAAAGTAAATACGTTTATGAACTATTTTTTTTGGAGAGCCTTGCTTGTTTTTATTGCAGTAAATCTACTTACGTAATACTTGAACGGCCCCTTATCAAGCCAAGCCTATATTTTGTTTCGCCAAAAAGCAATGCTTTATTAACACACAAATTTCATTTTTACAATTTATTTAAACAAAGAAAAGTTCCTCCACTCAAAATGCTATATCTCACAAAAGTACGAATACGACAGTTGTTAAATTTATACACGTGTCTTTTGAAGGTTAGAGCTTATTTATTTAATACTAGAAGCGCCATCTATGTGTCAGTCTACGAACTTTTCAGGTCACCTGTATGCAGTCAGTATACACAATATTATCAAATTATTACTTTATGGCATTCAAGACTTAAAAGTATTTCTATTTATTTAAAAGAATAAAGTAGATATTGAAATTATTTAATAATCAAACATTTGATTTGATTTGATTCGATTGATTGACGGATTTTCCATATATGAAAAGAAATATACAAAAATAAAAGCAACTTTTATTAGCTCCGCGCGCTACTTGGTAGAACGTTAACCGTACTCAAAATATCATCTAAGAACGAGACACGAGACAATGTAATGAAATATTTTCACGTGAACCTTTATCATTGCTCAGCGACAGAGGCTAAAAAGATTTACTCAGGGGAAATACAATCTGTACTCCCAAATTAGAAACTTTTTTCTTTAGGTTTATTTTTCAAATTTGACGCTCATTTGTTTTTTTACTAAACTCTTTTATTGACTTATTGGTTTTCAACGAGTTATACTTATAATTAATTTTTAATTAATGAGAATTCCTAGTTAATATGGATCCAAATATAACGTACTCCTATTTCAAACAACGAAAAGATTTCGGAAGACAGGTTATGTTCTGTGAAGTAGCACCACAAATGTTGGATTCGATTAATCCAGATAAAAGCGAACAAAATCAATACTGTCTCCGCAATCCAGTTCACAGAGAGGTTCAAACCTGTGTGAGAACGTCGGAAAATTATATAAATACGAAAGTAACGAAAAGCAAAACTACTGGCATTAACCATTCTGAAGGTGGATGGCCTAAGGATATTTTCTATACCGATGAAGAGGCAACAGCACGATACCGTCGTCGTTTCGAGCGAGATGACGGATACATTGATGCTGTAAAAAACCTCAATCCAGACTTCGAGCATTATATTCAGCAAAACAATGCTATTGAAATGTACAACATTTATTTTAAAGAAATCGCCAGTGAAAAACCCGTTGAGAAGTTTTTAATCAAAGTGAACAGCTCATATAAAGATGTTGGTACTCGACCTGTCAGCGATATCTGTTGGACGCATGAAGATCAACCAAAACTAGCAGTTTCGTATTGTAAAAAAGCTTTTCCTAAAAAAGAGTCGCTAAACAATGATTTTGTTTGTCATCTTTGGGATATTGAGAACCCAGGCGAACCATGTTCAATTTTTTGCCCACCTTCAGCTTGCTGGCAGCTGGTCACCTCACCTGCATCTTCATCCATGTTCTATGCAGGACTTGAAAATGGTAAAGTATGCATTTTCGATATACGGTCTCAGATAGAACCGATTGCAATAAGCCCAGATCATTTAGCCCACAGAGATCCTGTAAATGCTCTTTTATTCATACCGTCTCGTCTTAATACTGAATTTTTTAGCGGATCAACCGATGGTTTATGTATGTGGTGGGATGTGCGTAATATTTCAAAGCCGATCGATAGCCTTTTAATGGCTATACGTATCCCTCAAGGAGAAGTGTCAACTTACACAACTTCGGAACCAGTGAGTGCGTTACAATACGATCGGGCGTTTCCTACTAAGTTCTTGTGTGGAACCGATACTGGTTTTGTAATTAGCGTAAACAGAAAGGGGAAGAGTCATCAAGAAGTCATGAGCGCTGTGTTTAACGCACATGATGGTCCAGTGAAGTCCGTTCACAGGAGCCCTTGTACGTCAAAAGTTTTCATTACATGCGGCGGTTGGAAGGTTAATATATGGAGCGAAGACATTCATTCATCTCCTATTATTTCTGGTTCGGCACATGATCACTACATAAACGATGTTATTTGGGCACCCAAGCGATATTCTGCTTATATGACAGTTTCCGCCGATGGTAAATTCCGGTATTGGGATTTATTGCGAAAGTACCGTGAACCTATGGCCTCAGTGCCTGTCTCACAAGATCGTCTTCTAAAGCTTACACCAAATCAAGATGGCCAGTTTGTTGCTACTGGTGATTCAAAGGGAACATTGTATCTTCTGTCTCTATCGGACGTGTTGGTGAACTCGGATGAGAATGATAAACAACTAATGATACAAACACTTGATCGTGAAACCCATAGAGAACACATATTAGAGAATCGAGTAAAAGAAATAAAACTGAAATTAAAGGCAGGGGAAGACAAGAAAGAGTGCTTAGAGATGGAAGTTGAAAACGAAGAAGAGAAAGAGGATACGGAGTTTATGACATTGGAGGACGAGTATCATGCAATTGTTTCAGCTGAATTACGTAATATGGAAGGTAGATCGATGTACATAAGAGGAGACCCGATGAGAAGGCGATAATTGTTTTATTTAAAATAGATGTTAAGAAATGGTATGTTAAGTTTATTAAGGAGAACCTTTATTATTTAAGTTAAACTATTGGGAATAATAAATAATAAGTACTATACTATTGTGTATCTTGTTCCGTATTTGTAACCGTTTACCAACTAGCTGATACGTGGCATCTGATTGTAATACTATTAGTATAGACTCATATCACATCGAGAAGAAACCGACACGTCGCACAGACTTAAACGAAAATTATTTTTGAGACAGACACAGAATCCTGAGGCCAAGTAAGAATTTTTTTTTTTTTAGAATAACTTATATGTTACTTTTGTTAGAATACTTATAGTATGGAGCAGTGTTGGCTTAGTGGCTTCAGCGTGACACTCTCATCCCGGTCGTAGGTTCGATCCCCGGCTATGCACCAATGGACTTTCTTTCTATGTGCGCATTTAACATTCGCTCGAACGGTGAAGGAAAACATCGTGAGAAAACCGACATGGCTTAGACCCAAAAAGTCGAGGGCGTGTGTCAGGCACTGGAGGCAGATCACCTAATTGCCTATTAGATGATCATGAAAAAGATTCCGAAACCTGAGGCCCAGACCTAAAGAGGTTGTAGATTTTTTAATATTTTTTTATAAGTTAATAATAATAAAAATGTGAGCAGTCACGGGACGCCTGGCAGATGTGAAACATCGACATTATTTTGTAAAAGTAACATGGAGAAAAGAACAGATTGTGATAGGAACTAAATATGTCATAATGATAAAATAAAATATTACGATTTTTTTTCCAGATAACGATGACTATTTATTGAATAAACATTTATTTTCGTTAAATACAAAAATTTACGAATTTATTTCCAATCGTGACTACCTAATTCGTTTAATCAGTGACATTGAAATACACACACCGTACACACTACTGCATATAGACTGTATATATATAGTATATATATATATATATATATAGATTTCTTTTTAGTCAAGTCGGGATTTAGGCACTTTTAAAGTGAAAAAAGCGGGATTCATTTGTCGAAAGCGGGACATAGTAAAAAATTTTAAATAATCAGAAGTTTTTAAATATTTATGTTTTTAATTGAGTTCAAATCACGTTTTTGTGACAATAGACAGCGAAAATAGTAGAAATTTTTTAACTCTGATCGTTAAATAGTTCTAACAAAAAAAAAAATCAAAATAAAAAAAGTCTTATGTATTAGAAAAATATAGGGTTTCAAACAATACTCTGAAGATTGAGGGTTTCAAATTGCAACTTACAATAAGACAGTAATTTTTATAAGAATTACTTATTCATAATATTTCTATGAAGATATAACTTCTTTAAAAGTTTCATTTTTCTCTTTAAAAAGACGAAGAACTCTTCACAGGATAGCTGCAGATTAAACTTGATGAGTAACTCTGATTTCATTAAATTTACGAAGCATTTAAAAAAGAAGGCGTTTTGGAAAGCAGTTTGATGGTAGGATACTTAATATAAAGTTTGAAGATAATCCCGGTATTTTTTTGGATTCTGTTAAAAGAGTTGGTATGTACCAATATTGTGCGGTGGTGGTAGTACACACTTCTTATTGCCATCGAATTATTCCCGAAAAGCGGGACTAAGCCTGTCCCGCGCGGGACATTTCATTTTGATTTAAAAATCGGGACGTCTGGCAACGCTGATTATTATATACCATCACATAGCGTGGCAGCGCGTCGCCACGGCATGCGCCGCCACGCCAGAAATCGGTTTTTCGTGCGGCTATAGATGTTTCACATCAATAATAATAAAGCCCATTTTATTTCCAATCATGACAAAAACAATTTTTTATCATTTACTTGTAATCCTGTATCCTAGCTACCTTTAGTACCGTCGATCGGACCCTTCACGGGTAAAGGCCTCCAGCTTTTTTCAACTGACTTCGTCTATGGCTCTCTTTCTCCATTCGTTTCCTGCTACCGCTTCTATTTCTTCTATCAACCTTTTTTTGGGGCGACCTCTTCTTCCTCTTGGTCCTTTTCATACAGTCTTTAAAGTCCACCTTTTATGTGTGTATTGTGTAGAAAATACAGTACAGTATAGTTCATATCATAATATAATAGTCGCCTTCTTTGTAATTACTGGCTATTAGGACAGTAATGTAATATTCTCGAGCAGTATAAAGCCACTCAACACCCATTTAGTTGCCTTTGATCAATTTACTTTAATTAATAGAATTAACCCGACCAGCTTCCTCACTTGGAATCACATGTTTCAATTATCTATATACCTTATATCTATACATAATTATCCGGCTTAAGATTGCTGGTCGTAAAATATTTGTAAATTTATTCAGAACATCATTTAAGAACTTTTAATAGATTCAAGTTTATGACTATATATCATATCTATCTCTATCTAACCCAGTAATCGTCTTAGTAATGTTCGTTCCCATACTCCTCCAAAACGGCTCAACCGATTCTTATGAAATCTTTAATGCATATTCAGTAAGTCTGAGAATCGGACAACATCTATTTTTCATCCCCCTAAATGTTAAGGCTGGTTCCACCCCTAAATTTAAATTGTTAGACAAAACTTTTTGTTCTTATTTTCTTATGATACAACATACAAAAATACATATAAAACCCTTAATTGTCACCCCTCTACGATCAACCCCTATTTTTTATTACAGTAGATAGTTTTTATTGAACTTAAAAAATGTTTCCGAGAAATAATATACATGGCAAAACGACGTTTGCCGGGTCAGCTGGTTCAATATAATATTTAAAATATTTTATGATAGACTAGCAGACTCGGCCAAGAGTTGCACGTTTGGCCTAGTTTTTTGTTATATTCATTAATAGTAAACTATTCAAGGGAAACTGTAGGAGAACACCAGTCATGGGGACCACCATGCTTTTTGGTGGTAATGCCATTAATTGTAGCTTATGTGAAACGTTGGTACTTTCAACACAGCGCCATCTATTAGAATTGTGACTGTCAAACAATATACAAATTTGCAATAAAATAATATCGCGGGTATAAATTAAGATGTAAGATATTCTATCTTTTAAGTTAGATCAAACATATAAGCGTGTTGTTCCCACGAGAATGTAAGTGCGTGCTCCTATTTCACCATGCCTCCTGCTGATAGAGGACAACTCTTTGTTTTTAATTTATGTTATTATTATTAATTACTTAAGATGTCATGTGGAACATGGTTTAATGGTTGCAGCTCCTTACAAACGTTGTGTAAAAAAAAAAAAAACATGGCGATTAAAAAGAGTGGCGGAGAGTTTATTGCCAGTTCTTGTCTTCCGTTCTACGCCCTTGATTTGAGAACTGGCACTAAATGTAAAATTAGAAGCATTAATATTATGTATTTCTTTACTGACAAGTCATAAGTGTACAATGGGTTACCCATATGATTAAATGATTTTTGAATTTTGAATTTGAATTTGTTAACTGCACACGGTGTGCAAATTTGATTGAAATCGGTTAAGTATTTGAGTCCATAGCGGACAAACAACGTGACGCGTAATTTATATATATTATAGAACTACCTTTTAGGGTTTGAGAATATTCAGCAAACATAAGATTTAAGGAAGGTTTATAAAAGTAAAAGTAAACGTAAGTTAGGAACGTTTTAGTTCTGTTCCACCTCCACAAGTGTTTTGTATAAAAAGGTTAAATGGTTGGTGGACTCAGTTTCCGAACTTAGACTCTCTCTAGGTCCATTGTACGTAAAGTCCTGGCTAACTAAGCCAGCCTAGTTCCTTCCAGAAGCACAGAAGTCTCCTGGGCACTTCGCAGGCTTCACGAAGCGACCTCACTGCTCCGAGGATTTCTGTACGTTGGTTAGTCATAGCCATGCATTAGTGTTCTACATATCAACGATATGCCTTTATATTCAGCCTTTATAATAGTCAGTTTAACATTCAAAATGGTACTTTAATGCTAATTAGATTATTAACAATCTTAATCGAATAAGTATCGCAATACCTGGCAAAGGGACAGCAATTTTTCTATTTATCCATTTTTAATTATTATTGTTATTTTTATTACGTTCATAACCATTTGTTGTGTTATAGACAACTAATGTCCTCGTAGGTCGAAGCCAACTCGTTTTTAAGAATGGATTTATTTTTGATCGCGTATAAACGATGAGAAAGAAATTAGTGCCAGAAGAAAAACCAATTTGCAATGTGGTGGCGGTGTACCGGGAGAGAGGGTACAGTTAATAATATAATTAGTATAACGTAGAATACAGTAAAATTAAAAGATTTATTAAAATCAAACGCGATTTGACTAGATTATTTTGGTTGCATTAGATAAGTGTTTCCCACAGGGAGGCAATTTGATTGTTAATTCTATACGAAAACTTATCACAATTATTTGGTGAATTTCTTGCAGATTTTTCCTATTTTTTCTTTCTTTTTTTATTATATGTTTTGAAAATTTACTTAATGTGTTTGGTTAACAATTTCCTAGTAATGTCTTCGTGAAACCTATCATTTGAGTTTCTTGAGTAAGTATTGTTCATATACTTTTTAAATATTAAAAATTAAGTTAGATTCGGGGGGCATAGTAAATAAGGAAAGGCATGGCAAAAAGTGACAACGAGATCGTTACCTTATTGTGGAAAAAAAAAGAGTATATATGCTATTTTACTAATATTTTAATTTAATTAGTATAGCATTTTTTTCAAATTTTGATGTAACACAAATTAAAGTGAATTCTCGAGGTGAGCGTCATTCTTCCCCGCTATTTACATTTACTTAAAAGAAAATCCACAATATGGTTAACCCGTAGAGCGCGAATTTCAACAACCTCTTTAGATAGTGAATGAATTGAATACCACCGCATAGAAAGCTCTTTAAAATTTAATTATCTATTAACTAGTTACTTAATATTTAAAAAAAATTAAATTTTTGTCAAAGGAATTAATAAAAGCTTCACCGAAGCTTTTTCAACTTAAAAAAAAATCAATTTATTAATCGTAATTAAAACTTATGGTTACAATGCTATGTGGCA